TGAAACCTGAAACCTGAAACCTTTGAATTGGAAGCTCCCTAGGGGGCAGTTGAACGCTGCTTTCCGCTCATCTCCTTCCCTGATTCATATTCGGTAGTATGCCTCTCTGAGGTCTAATTTGGTGAAAACTTTTCCCTTGGCCAAGTGAGATAGCATATCATTCATGAGGGGGAGAGAGTATAGATTGTGTACGCACATGGCATTTATCCCTCGAAAGTCCACACACAGTCCCATAGTTCCGTCTTTTTTCTCTTTGAAGAGGACTGGCACTGCAACCTGTGGCTTGGCTGGCTCGATGAATCCTGGTGCTAGGTTTTTGTCTATGTATTTGTGCATTTCTTGCATTTGGGGCGTCATGGCATACAGCTTGGGTTTGGGTAGTTTTGCCCCGAGGATTATTTCGATGGCACAATCTGCCTCATGATGGGGGTGGGGCAGAATGTTGCATTATGTCTCACTGAATACTTCTGCAAGGTCTTGATATTCCTCTGGGATCTGTTCGGTCTCTGGGGTTTCGTCGGATGTGGCTCCAAGATGTTCTGGTGTGCTCTTTTGGGGGGTTCCTGCTTGAATGGTGTTTCTGCTTGCTGGCGAAAAAGGGGTTGGGGCCTCTTTTCTATCCTAAGCCTAAGGGTACCCCCTTGCCACCAGATGGTTGGTCCTCACTTGTCTAGACAGGAGAGTTCCAGTATGATTGCATCTGTCATTTTGGGGGCTATTATGAATCAAATTACTTCCAAGTGATCCACTAGCTCTAGTCTCACTGGTTCAGTCAGGTGGGTGGTATAAGCTCCCCCCGTTAGGGACCCATCAACCTGTTTGAATCGGATTGGGTGGGCCAGTCTTTTTGTTCTGATCCCCGGTTTCAGGACTGTGGTCAGGTTGATCAAGCATCTAGTGCAGCCTGAGTCTATTAGGGCTTGAAAATCCTACTAGCTTCCTGTCTTTGGGGCTGTGAGGTGTATTGGAAAAAGGAAAGGGTGAGTTGGTCCTCTCACCATTGGGTCATTTTCCCCCTCATTGTCACTGTCGTAGGATTCTGGTGACTGGTCATTGTTGCCTTGGGTTCCCCCCTTCATCTGGTTGGGGAGGGACCTCTGCAGCCTGGAAAGCCTTCCGGGATGTGTGGGTAACCCGTTTGTGGCCACGTTCCCCTCATGCCCTGGGTAGTAGCTCTGGCCTCGGCATTGGGATTGGGGTTGTGCACATGGATGCCATATGGCCCATCCCCTCGCATCTGTAGCATTTCAGCAGACTTTGAGGAAGGGCTGATTTCAGGGCCCGCTGTGGTGCTGTGATTCCCCATCAGCTGGGTGTTTCAGGTCAGGTTGACCTCTCTCTTTTGTGTCTAGTTGCTTTTTCATGTCGTTGGCATGCAGCCCACTGTCGACTTTTATTGCTACTTGGAACCACTCGGAGAGTCGATTTGGAATGTCGCAGTAGGCTGCTGGTTCAAACTTGTTCTGAAAAAATACACTAACAGACGCTCTGGTAAAGGGGGCAGCCTTCCAATGACTCACCTAAATTCGCAGATGTGCTCTTTGATGGGGTGGCCCCTTTGCTTTAGTTTGCTGAGCTCATCTTCCACGTACAGATCCTCCTCCACCTCCTCAAATCTAGCCTCTAGCAGTCCTAGGAAGTCATCTACGCCTTGCAGTTGCGGTGGCTCTCTTGTGGAGGGCTGCTAGCCATTCCCTTGCTCCTCCCACTAGTCCCTCTGCAATAGTATTCACTATTGCTCTGGGGGAAGAGTAGAGGCGTCCATAGCATTCCAGGTGGACCTCAGCTGAGTCAAGGAATAGGGCTAACTGGTCTGAGTTCCCATCAAACTTTTCTCTGAATCAGGGCGGTTCAATCAGCAGTGCCCTTCCCTCCTCCTGTCGGCCTTTGTATGCTTGCGTTTGATATGTCTGAAGATAGTCCTCAGTTCTAGTTCAGAGGGAGGGTGGAGATTGTCTCCCCTGGGCAGCCTGCCTGCTACGTGGGAGACGCACTGGCTTCATCTTTCTTCTAATGGGTGGAGATGTGGGGCTGTATTCCCATGTGCTTCTCGTCAACTCAAGAGGATCCA